GGAAGGGAGGGGGAGGGGGAAAGAGAGATTAGTTTCATCCCCGAGGTGGAGGTGGAGGTGGGGGTGGGTGGAACCTGCAACCCAGGTAGTGCCCTTGACTGGGAGTCGAACCTGCCACCCTTAGGTGCCCAGGCCAGCGCTCTAACCACTGAGAACACTGGCCAGGGCTTTGGAAAAGGAAGTTTACTTTTCAAAAATTATCTGACTTAATCAAATTCTTCCGAAAAAGGGTTTCCTGTCTACTCTAAATCCATCCCCACGCTGCTGCCCAAGATAATCGAATGTAGATGAAAGGATCAGACTGGGAGAGTTGAAGCCTTTGAGAACAGGGCTTTTGTTTGTTGGTCTTCCTTTGGAAAGCCAGGGCTGTAGGACAGTGGTCGTGTTGGCAGGTGGCAGGAATGGCACCGGTGGGGTCAGGCCGAACCTGGGTTCAGCACCCAAGTACTTGAATTCTGGCCAGGAAGGAATTCAGAGCCAAGACTGAAACTGTAAGAGAGTGTTTATTCAGAAAGGCACAGGCATGCTCCCAGAGGGAGCTGGGGCTGGACCCTCCTGAGGGTTTTAAGGGTGGAGATTTTAGAGGCCGTCCCAGGGGAAGATCTTGATAGAATATTCAGCAGTTTTCCAGGTGTGTCCTTTTGGGGTTGTGGTCTCCACTGATTAATTGACTGGCCCCCGGGGTGGGGGCTCATTATTCAATGCAGCTGGTCCTGAGGTCAGCCTTGGCCTCCCTTGTCTGGTTTTGCTGCTTTTCTGGGCCTGGAGCTGAACTACAACTGAGGCCTAGATAGTATCTCTAGGGAGGAAAGGTCAGGGGGTCCAAACTGTATGACCAGTGATAAACTAGGGGAGGAAAAGTCACCTTGGGGATGAGGTCCCACCCTATAATTGTCGCTTGCTAGAAATCTGGGGCTTTCCACGCTGGTGACCTGTTCCTGGCCGTTCGTCCTTGCTCTGCTCATGTCTGTCTAACTGCCTGCCACAGTCACCTGTGTTCACTTTGGTCATAATCAAAGTGTTTCCCAGGAAGGGGCTTAGTGCCTTTGATCAAATGAAAGCAAAACGTTACATGAACTTCAGGATTCAAAACGTTGTGTTCATGTCATTCTTTTAAATTTCCCCTTCACTCCCCCCACTCCCCTTCCCTTTAACTCCAGAGGTTAACAATATATGTATCTCTGCGTTGGCTTTTGGAATGTACTTATTGCCAGGCCCCCTGCCACGTTAACCTTAGCCGGGGGCAGCTAGCTAACAGGAAAATGGGAGCTTGGTTTGTAATTTCCAGTCCATTCTTCGTAACAGGTGCTTGTTTTATTGGAAAGTGCTCAGTTTTCCTGTGTGCTTTAGAAAAATGACTGCAGTGGTAGAAATTTATGCCCATATATGAAGGACCAAGTAGAACGGTGAAAGAGCTATTTGGAAAGAGGGGACCTTCTGATGTCTGCCAGGTCATAGAATTAAAAAAGTGTGGTAGGAGTGAGGGTCAGACCTGTCGGAGTAGATGCCCGACCTTGGGCTGCCTTCTGCTGTTACACCTCACTGACACTTTTGAGTGGTTTAGGCAAGGATTGTTCTAAGCACTTTATATATTTAAACTCATTTACTCTTTACAACAAACTGAGGAAGTAGTAGTGATACTGTTGTAATTATTTAATAACAGGAAAGGAGCAAAGGGAAGGCCCGACATTATAGGCATGTTATTTGGGCAGCGTTGCCGGGAAGCTACAACTTTACACTCCCCAGGGGGCGACGAAGGGGAGATAGACACATGCCCAGTAAAGTTGGGGTGACATAGGGAAGGTGCTTGGTGTCCGTCACACCTGAGAACAAAGGTCATTGGCCAGAATGGGCGTGGCCACGGCTAGGGCAAGAAATTTGGGATATTTAGTCCCCTGAGCAAAGGAGTTTACTCTCTTGGTTCCTTTTGCTGCTCTTGGGACTCTTGAGACTTGTGTGATTCTGGGCTTGTGGGGCTCCCTTGCGCTCGCCCACTTGGCCCATGGTCATACAGGCCCCTCGCACAGTGGACTAATGGACTACAGCCAGCCTGATACTGAGCTGGACCCAGCTCCAACATGGAAAGGAAACTCTGGACTCTGACCCTGCTTCTAGCTTTGCTAAAGGGATGTAATTCCATGGAAATAAAGCTTTCTACCACAGCCCATCCTTCCCTGAGGGCCTCTGGAAGTGCTTATTCCAGTGGTACCCCAAGAACCCCCACTTCCACAGACAAGAGAAGTATTACTGTCATCCTCTTGAAAACTTTGAAGGACAAGGACATTAAGCTTTTGTCCAAGGTCAAGCGCTGATAAGGAGAGGAGCCAGAAAGTACCTTCCTATGTTAAGCCCATGACTTCATGATCTTTGCTGTTCACTTACTTAACCAGTAATTCTTGAGTGTGAGCTAAATGTCAGCCACTATTCTGGGTGATGGAGACACCTGGGGGAACAAACCACATTGCTTGTCCTCTTGAAATTTTCTTCTTTATATTTGGTAACATACATCAAATTGTCTGTCTGAAAATAGGGCATAATCAATTAACATGAAAATCACCTGCAAATTAATGCCCTAACCTGCTCTCAGATCCTGTCCTTACAGGTATGCAGTAGGGGTTAGACTATGGAGCTTTAGCAAGACCCTCAGTAATTCTGATGCTAGCAGTCCATGGACAACTTTATGAGAAAGATCACCAACAATTGGCTTAGATAAACTCGAGGCCTTTTTTGCTGCTGTCAATTGGCAATAAGAATAGTGTATTTTCTTTCCTTACAGGAATATTGGGGAAATTCCAATGAAGAGGTCCGTATTCAGAGGGAAGCCTAATGTAAACCACAAGATTTATTGCTTCCAATATTTCAGTATTCTGTATTTCCCTATTGGAGAGTAAGAAAAACCTATTTGTTGAGAAGTGAGAGAGAGTCACCCATCACATAGCACCTGAATTTTGGGCTGTCAAAAAGCCGTATGTAAATGCATAAGAGACCGTTAAGAGGAAACGCTAAATAAACAAAACTTCAATGAGACAAAGCCTAAAAAGAATATAAACCAGGGAAACAGGTAGCTTGCCTCCAGGATGGTGGTGTCTGCTGTGCTTTAGTATCTCAAAGTGCCTGGAAGGCTGAGAAAGGTGCTAAAGGGACCCCACATGCTTCCTCTCTGAATTGCCTATTATAATTTCAGGCCAGTGAGGCAGTAAAATAATTTATATCCCCGAGGTCTGAAAAGCCATGGCAGACATTGTGCCCTAGTAGAGTCAAAGGAGGCCTGTCATTGGTAGCCCAGCCTCCCAAGGACCTGGCCCTCTAGTTTTGCCCATTAGATTCAGACGTTATTTTTTAAATTCTTATACTATAGCATCATTCTCAGTTCTCGTACCTGTGCCTTTAGAAGGTTTACCCTCCACTTGCAGACCTCTGGCTTTATAGCCACAGTAATATTTTATAGCTGTCTTCTCCTATCAGATCTAAAATTCTTGACTTGAAAAACTGGCCTAGTAAACAGTTTTTACTTGTGAAAAAGCAAAAATAAAACAGCCAGCCTTGTTGTTACCAACAGCACCTAATGAACCCTCGAATAATACAAACATTGTCAGTGTAAAAGATACTCTGTGACCAGAGATAAGGCCACTATTAAACCATAGGAAAGATTAAA